CTATTCTATTCCAAGAGGAAAAAGGCATGTGATAGATGCTTTATATTAGGTTGCTTTATCTTTGCACAATGCTTCTGATAACACTAATCTACAAGGAGAAAGCCTCGGAAACAAAAATAGCTAAATTTTACCAGAATTGAGTCACTAATAAAGGAAAATTAAGTCCTAAGTATTAATTGGCTCAAGTTTCCAAGATACAGCTTCAAGTCAAAATTGCATCAAAATAATTCAAAAGTACGAGGGGGATGTGCAATTATGCTCCACAGCTTTTCTACAAAATGTGATATAGCAATGAGAATGGTGCCACAGCCACGCCAATCATTATAAATGTATCTTTTTATTGATACCAATAACATAACTTTCCATTCATTTACTGGTTTTTCATGTAACATTTTCATATTTTTTCACTCTGCAAGAGGTTCCACTGTTGTTATCTGGAGCCCAGTAGCTCTGCCTTACTCTTAGGCAATTCCAAATCCCTGACCAGGTCATTTAATTCACTCTGTGAAATTAGATGTGGTTCAGGAGAAGCATACGGTGGGCTAAAGTTTGGGTCCGCTGACATAGACGGCCCTGGATCAGCTCCATCCTGCTCATCGTCTTTATCATCATCTGAGTCTAGAGATTAGGATTCTGGTGGAGCTGGAATTGGCAAATCCTCACTATGGGGAACAGGACGCAGTGCGGATGGAATGTTTGGATATTCCATGGTCCACTTCTTTCTTAAGATCCTTTTTGCAACTGGGGGAACCATGCAAAAATAGCAGTCGCTACTATGATTGGTGGGTTCCCTCCACACCACTGGGACTGCGAAAAGCATGGATTTTTTTTTTCTTGTTTAGCCAATGACACAGATAAGTTGCACATGTAACTGTAAGGACCCACCCCACTTTGCATCTTAAGAAGACAGAACTCTTGGAATAATTCTTCCAACAGGAATCCTTTATTAAGAGAAAATGGTTGCAGGCATGCTAGACAGGACTTGGGGTTCAAGCTCTCCCATTCAAGGTTTTAAGGGGTTCCCCAGTAGTCCCACCCAATCAACCCCCCTTCCAGTGATAGTTTCAAGTATCACAATTCCACCCCCTTTCTTCTTTCTTCCGTCTGGATGGAGACTTCAGGTAACTACATGAAAGGCAAATACCCTGCTTTGTTATGATAAGGTCCTCTAGTGCTAACGCTTTGATGTTACAATAAACACACATTCAGCATTCAGCTCTTTGAAGTGTACTGAAGGAAGTGAGGGCCATAAAGCCCCTTTGTTCTTCCCCTTCTCTCCCTCTTATGGCAGAATCCAAAGAAGGCAGAATTGGGAGTTTCTATATTTGATAATTAAAGATGAAATATGATTGGATTCTGACAGTAACGCAACAATAACGATTGCCCCAATTTTGCATCCAAAATATAGGTAATATGCCTTTTTTTAACCACTGCCATCATATGGCACTTTTGAGATGCAAATTGTAATGTACTGAGCTTAAACTGGGAACAGGTGCAGGGAGCTGCACTGAAACCGTTAGCAGACCACTGGCCTGCTGGCCAGACTTGCTGTCTGCAAGGGCTGACTAGTATGCATTTGAGCGGGAGAATACGTTGCATTCATTGGCTGACACCACCCCAAGCTGAATGTATAAATAGGGGCGGAGCCATCTTTGCTTGAGTTCTGTTTTGTCTCTAATAAAGAAGTACCTGTTTATTACTCCTGCCTTTTCAATGCTGAACCCAGCAAAAAACAGAACACAAATGTAACCTCATCACAAATGTAGCAGAAGTTATCTGCATTGTTTACACAGTTTTGAGGCATCTTGGCTTCTGAAGGAAAATATCATGCAACTGTTCCTTGGAAATGTTAGGCAATGACACATTCACAAGCCACCAGATGTAGCTATATGATGCGTAGATCTGACCAAGACAAATGTACCTTGTAATAAAAGAACTATAAATTAAAGTTAGATAATAATCTTTAGTCTCCAAGTGAAGATAAATTTATACACTTCCATGTGGTACCATTTTCATTGTTCTATCATACAATGACAACAACAATAATAGTAATAATAAAGTTGTAAGGTACCTTGGAGATCATCTACTCCAATCCCCTGTTCAGGCAGGAGACCTATACCATTTCAGACAAATGGCTGTCCACTCTCTTCTTGAAAACTTCCAGTGTTGGAGCATTCACAACTTCTGGAGGCAGGTTTTTCCATTGATTAATTGTTCTCACTGTCAGGAAATTTCTCCTTAGTTCTAGGTTGCTTCTCTCTTTGATTAGTTTCCATCTGTTGCTTCTTGTCCTGCCTTCAGGCGCTTTGGAGAATAGCTTGACTCCCTCTTCTTTGTGGCAGCCCCTGAGATATTGGAACACTGCTATCATGTCCCCCCTTGTCCTTCTCTTCATTAAACTAGACATACCTAATTCCAGCGACCGTTCCTTATATGTTTTAGCCTCCAGTCCCCTAATCATCTTTGTTGCTCTTCTCTGTACTCTTTCTAGAGTCTCAATGTCTTTTTTACATTGTGGTGACCAAAACTGGATTCAGTATTCCAAGTGTGGCCTTACCAAGGCATTGTTAAGTGGTATTAACATTGATTCTATCCCTTTGTTAATGCAGCTGAGCACTGTGTTGGCTTTTTTGGCAGCTGCAGCACACTGCTGGCTTATATTAAGTGATTGTCCACTTGGACTCTGAGATCCCTCTCACAGTTACTACTTTTGAGCAAGGTATCACCTATACCAGGGGTGTCAAACTGCCGGCCCATGGGCCAGACATGTCACAAGGAAACTGTGCCCACCCTATTGCCGGCAATGGGAGAAAAGCTCTGATACATGGTACGACAGCACGTGACATTGTGAGTTTGACATGTCTGACCTATACTATATCTGTGCATTTGGTTTTTCTTGCCTAAATGTAGAACTTACTTTTTTCACCATTTCTTTCTTTCTTTCCTGTTTGCTGTTGCTTTTGAAATCACTTCTTCTTTTTCCTTTCCAACGGTTGAAATTTATTACTCCCACACATGCGATTTATCAAATCCACCCGTTAGTTATGAGACAAGAAATTCTGGTTCATGTTGAGCTTCTTGTAATATTATTTTCCCTGTGATCCTTAAATTAGACCATCTACAACAATCTGCTGCAGAGACCTGGATTCTTTCTACAGCCCTCTTGTCTACCTTTTTTTTTTTTTTATGCATCTGTGGACTGTATCTCCTGACTCAACTTAGCTGGCCTGAACACTAGCAGGTTCCTAGATCTTCAAAATGGTATTCGACCAGCATTTTTTTTCTTTTTATAACCCTGTGTGATCCCTTAATTTGCGGTAGAGTCGAAGCGACCGAAGGAAGCTGAGCGTTTATTGGCCAGATGCCCTTTCTGATGCCTACGTGGAGTTCACAGCAGGCTCTTTGCTCCCAGACTCTTTCTCTTGCATCCTGAGAGAGAAAATCTGTCACTGCCTAGGACTGAACTCTCAACCTTCCCAGTGGGAGGTGAGAGTCTTCACCTCGAGGCCCCACACATCAATATGGTTTAAAAAATATTAGGAAGTTCCCCCTCATCTGCAACACTGTTACAGGTGTTAAATATGGAGTGATTCCTGGGAGGGGGGAGTTGACACAAAAAATAGATTCCTACAATGTTATCATATCAAATGTGTGACATTTATGACATATATATTCCAGGTGGTATATCCGTGCCTCTTCAAGGAGAACATGTGCTGCAAAGGAATGACAAGTAGTCCTCAACTTAGGACCACAATTGCTACTGGAATTAAATCACTGAGTAATGTCATTAAGTGATTCATACTTGACTTTACAACTTTTTTGTCATGTTTGTTAAACAAATCACCAGGGTTGTGAAGTGATTCTAGCTTCCTCCATTGACTTTGCTTGTTGAAAGCCTCCTGGGAAGGTCATAAATGGCAACCATGGCCCTAAGACACTGCAATATTTACCTCCCTCAGTGCAGGCATGCAATTTGGGTGTCCTCCTGGACTCACAGCTAAATTTGGAACAACATCTATCGGCTGTGGACAGGGGGACCTTTGCCCAGGTTCACCTGGTGCACCAGTTGTGGCCTTATCTGGACCGAGAGGCTTTACTCACAGTCACTCATGCCCTTGTCACCTCAAGACTGGATTACTGTAATGCGCTCTACATGGGGCTACCCTTGAAGAGCGTTCAGAGGCTGCAGTTGGTTCAGAATGCAGCCGCGAGAGCGATTGTGGGCGCGCCAAGGTACGCCCACGTGTCACCTATCCTCCATGAGCTGCACTGGCTTCCTGTGGGTCTCCGGATGCAATTCAAGGTGTTGGTTATCACCTTTAAAGCCCTTCATGGCATAGGGCCAGGTTACTTAAAGGACCGTATACTGCCGCACAGTTCCCAGAGACCGATGAGGTCCCATAGATTGGGCCTCCTTCAGGTCCCGTCGGCCAGACAATGTCGGCTGGCGGGCCCTCGGGGAAGGGCCTTTTCTGTGGTGGCTCCGACCTGGTGGAATCAACTTCCCCCTGAGGTTCGAACAACTCCCACCCTGCCAGCCTTTAAGAAAGCCGTTAAAACTCTCCTGTTCTGGCAGGCCTGGGGCTGATGTCCCCGGGGGGGGGGGGATATGATCGGACTTGCGGTATGATTGTATTATTTTATTGTTTTATTCTTAGATGATTGTTTTAATTTTGAACGCTGCCCTGAGTCCTTTGGGATTGGGCGGCATATAAATAAAATTAAATAAATAAATAAATAAATATGCTGGTTGCCAAGTGCCCAAATTTAGATCACGTGAGCATGGGGCCGCTGCAGTGGTCATACGTGTGTATACCAATCATAAGCCACTTTTTTGAACTGTGTTGTAACTTCAAACATTTATTAAATGAACGCAAGTCAAGGACTATCTGTATTATGATATTTTTTCAATAAGGGATAGATGACAATAATTGAGAATCATAGTTTTCATGGGTAGCCAATGGGGAGCACGGATGGGTAATTACAATCCAGCATTTCTAACCTGATTTTATAATGGTGTCCCTGAACAAGACTTTTCTGTCTCAGAAATTAATGGGGGAAGAGTAAGAAAGATGGAAATTATAAATCTGAACCTGGAGATGGCTGTGCTTTGGGAAGCATAAAAACAGATGCAGTAAAAACAACTACAACATCTCTAAAGGTAACCATCGGTTTCTTTTTTTTTTTTTTTTGTACATGCTATATTTAAAAATACAAGTATAATTTATTCTATTTCATCTATTGAACTCTATTTTTAAAGTAATATGAAAGGAGTGCACATGGGATTTTTTTATGGGCTCACATATTTTCTGGGGATGCCACAAAACCTTCTTCATTTAGAAGTTACTTCCCTTTACGCTTCTTTTCTCATCTACAACAGGCTGGTATGAGGATTTAGCAGTTCTTTCCTCAGATAGCACCTCCTTGCTCTGGGGTGAAACAGCCATTGCTGAATAAGGCAGCCCACATTTACGGGAGGAGGGGGATTTTTTAAATGCAAATCCTCAGATGAATACAGACGGTTTCTGACAAATCCAGTGAAGTTCTGTACTGCACATATCAGATGCGATTCCCTTCTTTCCTATAATACCACAGTCAGCCGTTAAGGGTTGAGATCTATGAAGGGAAAGAGAAAAGCACTTTCAGTTTAGGAAATTAAAATTAAATTAAATTAAATTAAAATTAAAACAATTAAAAAACAAAAATTAGAATATTTTGGACATGTGATGCGACACCCAGAAAAAAATGGCATATTCCATTTAATCCTCCAGGGAAAGATTGAAGGCAAATGAGGTCCAGGCAGAAGAAGAACATCATGGCTTCAAAATCTAAGGGACTGGTTTGGATAAAACTCAGCAGCACTTTTTCGTGTGGCTGCTGATAAAAACAGGATCACAGTCCTTTCAACAATTCCAAGAAGATTCCATACCCATTTGCACTATTCAGTCAGAACTGAAGAAGCTTCTTGGGTGAAAAGTGAAACATCTTCAAGGATTAAAAAACAAAGTCCAGTTGCCTTTTGGAAAAAAAAAGAGACATTTTTTAAAAGTGTTTTTATTTGTGAGCTGCCCCCCTGCTCTAGTAATTGGGAGTTGGGCAGCATACAAAATGAATGAATACAGGAAATAATTTCTAATAGCAGCAGAAAACCAAAAATAATGAAATGAAGCCATGGATCCTGTATTAGACATGGGTTTTTCACAGTTGTACTGAAGCGGTTCCTTCACTGATGAAATGAAAGCTGATCTTATAATCTCCTTAAGATGCTTCTAGATCCCTTAATGACTCCAGGTATTTATATTATATATACTTCTCTCTCTTTTTTACTTTATTATACAAGAAACACTACATTACAGAAGTTTTCTTCCATGGGTATTTGAATACTTACAGTGTTTGGTTTAATGGTGAGCCATTGACCCACATCCATCTCTCCTCTGGCAATTTTAATCTGAGCCCAATCCATGTATCCTTATTCTTTATGATGTCTTGGATGAATTCCTATAAAATATCATTTAATTTTCATTACAAGGATGGCTGTTGGAATCCCTAACCATGTCCTATTATTGAGACTGTGTTAAATTCCTCCGAATGAATTAATTGCCAAAAACAGGCCTCTTATTTTCTGCCAGTTGCGCCTCTGATGTTGTGGGGAACTTTAACAGGTGGATTTTGCCCCATCTGCTTATCCTTGAAGGAGAAAAGGATGGAGTAGATGGCTATTAAGCATCAAAGTAAGATCAATACAAACAACCAAGTGAGAAAGTCTGCACTACCTTTATGTATTCATTTGGCTAATCCTACTTCGCCTGAAGTATCTCCTGAAGCCTGCTGGTATATACTAGTCCAATCACTGAAATCTTTTTATTTAAAACAGTGGTTCTCAACCTGTGGGTTGGGACCCCATTTGGGGTCGAGCGACCATTTCACGGGGGTCGCCAGACAACGCAGTCCTCCATTTTTTCCCCCCTTTTCCTTAGCTGTGCTACTCCCTTTTATTCCATTGGCTTTTGAAAGCCAATAGAATAGACTCTCTTGAATAGAGTCTAATTCTATTGGCTTTCAAAAGCCAATAGGAATTGTCCAGGCTGTCTCTGCCCTGCTGAGCCCGCCAAAAGTCCCATTCTGCAAAAGGTGCTGTACCAGTTGAGTAGTTCTCGACTTATGACCGGTTGAGTAGTCCTCGACTTATGACCGGTTGAGGGTCGCGGCATTAAAAAGGTTGAGAACCACTGATTTAAAATAACAAATAAAAAAAGTAAGAAAGCTAGGGATTCTTCTCCTGCAACAAATTCTTTTACCTGCTCTCCTGTACTAGAAATCACCAATAGCCGAGCTCTTTTTGCCACACAATCCTTTTGGCTTTGGATCCAGGACAGGATTGAAGTAGAAAACCAGTAGCATTTGCCCTCATATGAAACCCATGTTACAGGGCATATACTGCAGGATCCATTCTCTAGGAAAGGAAATAAATGTTTTTCTTTAAAAAATATGTTTGTAATCAACTCTACAGGTATATTTCAAGTTCTTTAAAGTCCCTTTGAAAAGTAAGGAGAGGATCCCATTTAAAAATATGATAATTTTTACTGGGTTAGGGTCATTCTTTCACTCATTCATTCAATTTCATGGTGACTCTGCATAGATTAGCCTTTCTTTTTTAAAAGAATGTTATTAAATTTTATAAAAGGGTTAAAATATAACAACAAAAATAGTAAAGGTAGGGGAAGGGAACAATGGAGAGTTTCAGAAGCGACATAAGAAAAATACACACTAAAAATAACATTTAAAAAAGGTTACTTCTAACTCTCTTAATTGTGGATGCAGTTATTTAATACAATATATTCTTATTTTAGATTAAGAAAAAATGAAACAAACTATAAAAATATACACACTAATCAACTAACAAACAACAGCAACAATATATATATATATATCGTAATCACTTAATTTGAATAAAATTCATAGCTCATAAATGCTTGGTATTCTCAATACCAAAAACATATTACTAGATATTTCTACAATAAAAATCTATAATAAAACCTCCTCTACTTTAAAATTAGATAGATGCATACGGTAAAAATGCATATCTATTAAACTCCAACAATATACAAGATTTCTATAGTCAAAACATATGTCATTATCAGATCCCAAAATCATAACTTCATTTTTCTTTTTACCAAGCAAAAAGCCCAAAAGTAGTTTCCATGTAAAAAAAAAAAAAAGCAGTCAAATTGTTAACTTTAATTGAAGTAATCCGTTTTGCTATCTCCTCCAGCTCCATTAATTTCAAGATCCATTTCTCCATTATGGAAATCAATACTTCCTTCCCCATCTGTGCATAGGTTTACATTTTCAAGTCTGAAATCACTGGGGTTATTTACAACTGTGAGGTGGTTAAAGTAAACCACCAAGTCACAATAGGGAGCCAGCTTCACTAGGTCCAAGGAAGGAGTCTAAAGTCCATGGGTCAGTGTGCTTGCAGGCATGGGGAACCCTAACCACTGGTGATGCTCTGTGGGGCTAGAAAGGCAGAATAGAATAGAACTGGAAGGGACCTTGGAGGTCTTCTAGTATCTAGAAGAGCCCCCTGCTCGATCAGGAGAACCTATACCATTTCAGATAAGTAACTGTCCAGTCTCCTCTTAAAAATCTCCAGGGATGGAGCACCCACAACTTCTGAAGGCAAGCTGTTCCATTGGTTAATTGTCCTCACTGTTAGAAAGTTGCTCCTTAATTCCAGGTTGCTTCTCTCCTTGATCAGTTTCCAACCATTGTTTCTTGTCCTGCCCTCTGGTGCCTTGAAGAATAGTTTGACGCCCTCTTCTTTGTGGCAGCCCCTCAAATACTGGAATACTGCTATCATGTCGCTCCTGTTTAGTCTTTTCTTTAGACTAGCCCAGGGATAGGCAACCGTGGCTCTTTTATGCCTCGTGGACTTCAACTCCCAGAATTCCTGAGCCAACATGGCTCAGCTTGGAACCCTCTCCCTTTCCCCTCAGCATGGCTGGCTCAGGAATTCTGGGAGTTGAACTCCACGAGGCATAAAAGAGCCAAGGTTGCCTACCCCTGGACTAGCCAAACCCAAGTCCTGCAGCTGTTCTTCATATGTTTTACTCTCCAAGTCTTTGATCATTTTAGTTGCTCTTTTTCCAAAGTCTCAACATCTTTTTTGTAGTATGGTGACCAAAACTGGCTGCAGTATTCCAGGGGTGGTCTTACTAGGGTTTTATAAAGCGGTACTAATACTTCGCGTGATCTTGATTCTATGCCTCTGTTTATGCAACCGAGGATTGTATTAGCTTTTTTGGCTGCTGCTGCACACTGCTGGCTCATAAGTCAGAGTAAGCCCTGTAGATTTTTTCCACTTCATCTTCAGAACATGAACTCTCAACCGCACCAACAGAACCATGAGATTTTTCTCCCTCTCTCTGTTTCTCTTTCTGTGTTTAGTGACTCCCTCAACACTTAGCAATTATCACTGCCTAAAGGTTAATGGATCGTACTCTATCTGAGTAGATAGAGTGTACCTCTGAGAAAGGGGTCAGAATACGCACAAAAGAGCTGTTAGAGTTCAGGGGGGAAAGACAAAAGTAGGATGATGATGCCTCCTGAGGGAGATGAGCAGTCTAGAAATACAAATAAACAATCAATCAGTAATAAGAGATAACACACATATTTGGGATAAAAATGTCTAAGAAATTATAATAAGGGTCACAGGAACATTTCAATTAAAAATATAAAGAGTTACCGGTTGTTGCATTTGTAGCCTCACACAAATGTTGCCTTAGACAAGTCTTGAGTGCTTCTAATTGGCTATTTGTTTTGTTTTCATCTGGATTGCATTGATGTGCATTTGAAATTCGAGTCATTTCCTCGGGATTTTGTGGGCTTCTGTTTGTTGCTGTTGAGGAATTGCAACCCAAGCCTATAAAACATTAAGCCAAAATTATAGTTACATAATTAAAACTGTACAATATCACAGATACGGTATTCTGGATAAAGAGAGAGCCCCCATCTGGATTCTTCCAAGGATTCATAATACTACTCAACCAGTACTAGGGCTCCATTTAGCACCTTTTGATAGCCTCTCACAAGCTTTATTTTATTATTTTATCAATACCCTGCCTTTATTATTTTCATAAATAGCCCAAGGCAGTGAACGCACACAATACTTCTTCCTTCTCCTATTTTTCCCACAACAACCACACTGTGACGTGGGTTGGGTTGAGAGAGTGTGAATGGCCCAACATCACCCAGCTAGGTTTCATGTCTAAGGCGGAACTAGAACTCACCATCTCTTAGCTTCTAGCCTGGTGCCTTCACCACTACACCAAACTGGCTCTCTTTAGTATTTTCACTTGGTAATTTCTTCATTAAATGAACTGAGAGATCACAAAACACCATGCAATTGTTTGCTTTCTTCTGACCTCTTTATTAAGCAAGATGAGTGCCTGAGGAAAAAGATGATGGACTAGAAGAAAGGCTGAGAGGATTTCTGCAAGGAGCAACAAATAATTAAGATGGGATTGCCCCATTTTACATTGCTGTGGCCCAATCTTATGGTCCAACTTTCATAGCCATAAGAAAGGCTGAGCGCCAAAGAATTGAGGCCTTTGAATTATGGTGCTGGAGAAGACTCCTGCAAGTCCCCTGGACTGCAAGGCATTGAAACCGGTCAGTCTTAGAAGAGATCAACCCTGACTGCTCTTTAGAAGGCCAGATCCTGAAGTTGAAACTCAAGTACTTTGCTCACCTAATGAGAAGGACTCACTGGAGAAGGGCCTAATGCTGGGAAAGATTGAGGGCAATAAAAGAAGGGGACAACAGAGAATGAGGTGGCTGGATGGAGTCACTGAAGCAGTAGGCATGAGCTTAAATAGACTCCAGAAGATGGTAGAGGACAGGAAGGCCTGGAGGAATGTTGTCCATGGGGCCATGATGGGTCAGACACAGCTTCGCAACTAACAACAACAACACAACATTGCTGTGGCCAAAACCTAGCTCACTTAAAGCAATCAAATCACTTTGAAGCTGCAGCATAAATGTATTAAGCCTGCATACAATAAAGAGGTAGACAAGGTGTAAATTACAACATGACAGAATATTTTTAATAAGCCCATCTTGATGGACTTCTCATTATTTACCTTATCCTACTGGGTCAGAATGGCAGCTATATTTTCTTGGAGATTTGGTCACTGAATGTAAACAATGTGATTTATTGGGTCACTGATTCCTGTCTGATTCTCTCACCTGTGGCCACTCAGGATCAATTCAGCTTAGAATGGAGTAGGATAGAATAACGGAGTTGGAAGGACTTTGGAGATCTTCTAATCCAACCCCATGCTCAAGAAGGAGACCCTGTATCATTCCAGACAAATGGCTATGCAATCTCTTCTTAAAAGCCCAACTCCAAAGATGGAGTGCCCACCACTTCTGAAGGCAAGTTGTTCCATTGTCTCACTGTCAGGAAATTTCTCCTTAATTCTAGGTTCGATCTCTCTCTGATATGTTTCCATCTGTTACTTATTGTCCTGCCCTCAGGTGCTTTGGAGACTAGGTCAACCCCCTCTTCTCTTGACAGCCCTTCAGATATTGGAAAATACTGTCATGTCACCTAGTCTTTCTCTTTGTTAGATGAGACATACCAGTTCCTGAAGCTGTTCATTGTACGTTTTAGCCTCCAGTCCCCCAATCATTTTTGTTGCTCTTCTCTGCATTTTTTCTAGAGTCTCAACATCTTTTTTATATTATGGTGTCCAAAACTGGACCCGGTATTCCAGCTATGGTCTTACTAATGCAGGATAAAATGATAATAACACTTCATGTGATCTTGATACTATCTCTCTGTTGATGTAACATAGGACTCTCCTTAACCTGGATGGGGAGGAGATAAGTTTTGATGGATGCTAGATGGCTGGGTCCACTGTATTTTATATATAAAAAAACCTGGTCTTATTTACGCTTCTATGGGAAGGATTGCTTTTAATCCTTGAATCTTTGAGTGTCTGCTCAGTAGATTTGATTCTTACTTCATCATGCTCTCTCCTCCTACAATACTCACCATGAACCCCCATCAGTATCACAGTCACCATCAAGATAACATTCCCAGTGCAGGAAAGCCATAGAACAATCCGATGCCAATGAGGGCATATTCGGTGATCTGCAAAATGCAAGCAAAACATCTGGAATGTTACTCTAATGGAAGTGGTTAGGAGCTTTTATCTTACGTATTTTGCAGATCACCTGACACTTCTACTAAATAATAACAAAGTCATATTAGAAAGGCAAGCTATTGATTCTCTCAGTTGAGCATGTTCTCCTTGATCTTCTGTTTGACACATGTGCTATTCCAAGCCTTTACCAAGTAAACTTTCACTTTCTTATACAACATTCCCTTTCTGAATGTTATAAGCTTCCTCCCTCTCATTTTGCCACTCACATTTAAAAATATGTATTATAGGATGTTTTGATAGATGTTAATGTTTTTCCCCTCCGTGGGTCCCCAGAGGCGTGCCTTCTTTGTTACTACTCTGTCCCCTTTTTCACCCCAATCTGTGTAAAAAAAACTTGGCTTATATTACATAATGTATATGCGTTTGTTTCCCTTTTCTTAATTTTTGCTTTTTTATTTAATTAATAAAAATATCATTTTAAAACCTTGTATTTTCCTGCAGTATTAAATCGGGGTGATTTATGGATGATTTGAATGGTTGCTATCTGAATTTTAATATATTCCCCAGCAGACTGCATTTTGTCCTATATTGCTTAAGTTTTGTTTTTGTTTTTTTTTTAAAAAATGCTTTTAATCCAATTTGTTTAATCCAAATGTTACCAATAGAAAAGAATATTTGCAGCTCGGGGTTGAACTGTTGAGTCCTTGGTGCTCTCTGAGCTTGGTTGTTTTCTTGCATAAGCAATTCACCCAGCAAAACTGACACACATACTGTAAGATAAAGACGTAGCCCTGTAAGGCTGGCGCACTGTACATAAGAAGCGAGAAAGCAGAAGTAGCTAAAAATGTTCCCTTTTGAGTGTTTCCTTTAAGACACCATATGTTCCCGGGTGGGTTAGATATTAGGTTTTTTCTTTGCTGTCTTTTCATGACCCTGCATCCACGATTCTGCAAGTGCCCAAAGACAGCGGGGTCATCTGCACATATTCACAATTGATACTTCCTATGCTAATTCCGGGTCAACATAATGGGCAGCATATAAATTTAATAAATAAATGAACACACGTAAAACAATGATAATGAAAGCTGCAGTGAACCAACTGTTGAACTGACAGAGATGAAAGAAAAAAGAACAACTGAGGCTCAGAGGACGACAGAGAGGAAGATCCCTGCTGAACTGCCTTTTGATCAAAGTTTTTGTGAGAGGTAGACGTGGGCGGGTGAAGAACAGACATTCAGAACCATCTATAATTCCAAGCCACATAAACCTTTAGAGGCAAAGGCTGGCAGCTCTTAGAATTTTATCTGTAGAACCACAGGAAAATAAAATGCGCCTCTCTCTTAGCACAATCGTGGCAAACACAGCACTCCCTTCAAAATAGTACTTGATACCTGGTCCCTGTTGCATTCCTGCAAGATTTTTATAGAGCCACATTGCCAGTGCTCCTTCACGTTTCATGCATGGCAGAACAATGCAACCACAGTTGTTGCTTTTTTTAAAGCACCTAGATCTGCAGTGCACCATGTCACTGGGAACATCAAGGCCCTCCAAGCTGTGGTTAACATTTGTAACATTTCTTAACATTAACTTGGGAGCAAAGGACATCCAATGCAAAGAGATTCCTTCTGTTTTCTCTTTGAGAAGATGCAACAGATCAGATCCAGTCCTCTGTGCAATATTTTGGATATGCTTCTGTAACATGCTTCTGTTACAATGATCATTATTACATTATAGCTCAGGGTTTCTCTACAAGCTCAATGCAGCATAGGTAATGGGCCTCTCCTCTGTTACCTGCGCAGTAATGGATTCTCAAAGAGAAATTAAGCTGCGAAATAATGTTACCCTCTCAAAGTCACTGAGGGAGCATTGTAACCAAGCAACAACTTAAACCTGGGTCCTCATCTACACCCTTAATCCCTACTCCCTACTGGCTATGTGGGCTTCTACTTATGGTCTGTATATATATATATATAAAGGATGAAATGGAAGGCCTTTTAGAGAATATATCACCTTTCTCAGTCTGAGAAGCTGTCCTGAAATAAGTGAACTTACCTGCCTGTTGAACAACGAAATTTGCACTTCTTCTAGATGAGGAATCCTCAGAACATTTGATGTCTGCATAGACCAGACCAGCATCCATGGTCAGCTGCAACCCAAAACAGATGGACTGTATGTAAGTAAGATGTTCTTAATATGCCTGCACATGCGTAACGGAAATCTACACTACCTATCACTTTTCCAAAATGTAAGTATATTCTCTCTGCCCATGTATAGTTGTGGTTATGTGCTCCTACGCTGAAAGGAGGGAAATCTCTACAGAACACGACTGTAATAAAATGTATTTTCCTATAGGTGGTTTCCAGACAACAGTGCAGATGAAGCTAAGAGTCACTTGCAATTTACAAAGGAAACTAAGATTTAAAGTTTGTTTCTTTTTCTTTTTCTATGTTTGTGATCTCCAGTAACAGGCCAGGAGATTCAACATCCCCATCCACCCAAATGAAACTACAGTCCATCAGGATGGTGTGCCCCAATGTAGGAGATGCCATTTCATCTGCTCTCTTCTTTTCTCATTTTCTCCCTTCCCCTTTTCATCCACTCAGTATGATATGCCCATGGAGTATGAGTGGCTGTTATTTGTCTATTTCTGAAATTCCCTCTTCAAATAATATCCATCCTCGCCCCCTAGAGAAAGTATTGCAATGCTTTATGTAGCCTAGCTATGTTTTTCACAACGAAAAACAGATGTGTATTTCTAAGGTGACCAACCGTCCTCCTTTAGGGAGGACAGTCCTCCTTTTGTAAGTTCTGTCCTCCCTTGAAAAGTGTCCTCCTACATGTCCTCCTTTTTAATATTTGAAGACTAGTCTGCAGGGCTTTTTTTTCTCATAGAACGCTCAGAACGGCATTCCGGCACCTTTTTTTGATTTTTTTTTTCAACTTTTGCATGAGCTGTGCTACTCCCGCTATTGGCTTTCAAAAGCCAATAGGAATTGCTGCTGAGCACACCAAAACACCCGGCCAGCAAATTTTGCACATGCAAGTTGTCTGCAGCGAAGGCAAATTGGCAGGAACTTAGCACCCCTCCCTGCTACCCAACTACACCATCTCCTAGTTAGTTCCGAAGATACCTGGAGGAGACTGGAGTGGTACGTTTCTCTTGATCTTCGGCTCTGCTAAGGCAATAATGGCTGTGGGAGCAAGAGGCAGGGGCGGCAGGGGTGCTGCAGTTGGGGTGTGAGGGGCGGCAGTGGCCGGCTGTGGGAGCTGCAGGGCCCTCTCTACATGGGGCTGCGCAGGGTGGGTGGTGGTGCTGGCGGGGCGGCTACAGGTGGGATGTGTCGATGGCAGGCTGCCCCCCAGGGCCAGAGCCGGCACGGCTGGTGCTTTGGGAGCTGCGGGGCCTGTTCTACACAGCAGGGATGCAGTGCTGGCAGGGGTGAGGCGGACAGTTGACCTTCCATGGGCCGAGCCAGCTTTTATGATATTTTTTTCTTCAATTTATTTGTGTCCTCCTTTTTATTGTAAAAAAGTTGGTCACCTTAGTATTTCTAAAGTCCATTTAGGAAGTCCCTGAGAAGCAGTCCTTGACAAGTGGAGATTGCTGCAACCTTCTCTTTTGATAACCATTGTTTTTTGCATTATTCTCCATGCTTACATTGGCTGCATAATCTTAACCAAGCAAGAGCTGTGTGTACCAGCCTCTCCTTCTAAAGTTGACTTGCAGAAAAATATTTATAGTGCAGCTGAACACAAATTTTGGATGAGTGTAGAAGGCAGTGGAAACCTTAGCAATGAGGATTTAGGGGGTGGGAGGAAATAAAGGCCATATTGCATTCAATTTTCAGTTTTCTGATACAGTTATTTTCCTGGCTCCGTCCTGATTCTGGGTGTCTCCATTTTCCTGAAGTCTAGCACACTGTCCAAGCTATTTCTGGCCTTGTACTGTATGCGACTTTGCTTCTTATTTCAGTGTTGGTTCATCTTCAAGTTTTCTATGTTTTAAGAAAAAAGCAAAATGCTAGAAAAAACTTTCATGGCTTTTTATTTTTACAGGTAGAATGGAGATAAACTGGCAAAGCAGAAGTGAAGAATGATGCCAAATATTTGGAGTGTCTCAACTGTGATAAATCTGGATGTCTGGAGAAGAAACTTTTAGATCAATGTCCAATCACTCCCGGCAAACCCCATCAGCATGGCCAATGGCAAGGAATGCTGGGAGTTGTGGTTCAACAGCTTCTAAAAGGAGACTAAAAACTCTACATTTGGATGATGGCTTGGATCAACAGAATAAAACACTTGCACAAAAACTCTGTTAATTGGCTATTTTGAGAATTGCAATCCTAATATTAGAGAACATCAGATGTGCTATGGCTGCTTAACCGTGTTATATTACATCTGGCACATCTGTATTGCATTTAGCAGCCCAGCCTTGTATTGACCAGATTATAGCAGCCCCCTTAAAGCAGTTGTTTTTCAGATCTTTCTTTACTTCTTACAATCATGGAGAGATTCTTAAGAGTTCTCAGTTGCTGAAATACTCCAGTTTTGAAAAGATAGATATTATTTGCTGCATTGGCTCAAACCACACATTTTGGAACGATTGTTCTTATTTCCTGTGCATCACAAGACAAGATAGCTATGAACTCTGGTCAGAAAAAAAGGCAGGCTTAAAAGCTATTTTGCAAACAGAAAATATATTATTCTCCTGAGCCTGACCACCATCTCTTCCTCCATACCAAGAAACCTAGAACAATTAACCAGTGGAACAACCTGCCTCCAGAAACTGTGAATGTTCCAACACTGGAAGTTTTTAAGAAGAGACTGGACAGCCATGTGTCTGAAATGGTATAGGGTTTCCTGCCTGAGCAGGGGGTTGGACTCGATGGCCTCCAAGGTCCCTTCCAACTTTTTATTATCATTATCATTAAATGCCACTCCCAGTATGTTTTTTTTTAAATTGTAATTTCTTCAGAGCAGGAATTCATAGTATTTTTTCCCCATGGTTATCTGATAATCACTATGAAGGGACAACAGCTATCAACTCTATTTAGATAACAACACAGCCTGGTAAAAAGATCTATTTTACATAGAAGTGGAAAAATGTTTGAGTTTTGCTCTGAAGGAAAGATCATTGCTTGAAAAGGAAAAATTGGTTTCCAAATTGTTTCTAGGTTTTTGTTTTTTTTTTTTTATTGAAAGTTTTATAAATTTTACAAAAAAGGAAAAATAATACAAAACAAGAGGCAACATATACAGAAAAATAAAACTAAACAATACATATATTAAATAAAAAAAAAAACCCCATCCCCCAGCCCTCCCAAAAAAAAAAAACCCTCCCTTCCCCCCCCCCCTGAGCTTCCCAGAGCAGAATATAGGCTTAAAAAATAAAAATAAAAATTAAATTAAAAACTTTATATTTATATATATAAAAAATTATCTATAATATATATGAAAATAAAACTTATGAAAAAACTATATAATATTTTTGTATACCCAATCTAAATTGTATAAATTTTATCCATTTATCCCAAACAGCAAAAAACTTCTCTTGCGTTTGTTGCTTTAAGAAAGCCGAAATCTTTGCCATTTCTGCCAGATAAGCTACTTTAAGAAACCATTCCTGCAATGTAGGCAAAGATTCCTTCTTCCAGTATTGTCCTACTAACAGCCTAGCGGCTGTGATCAAGTTTAACATCAATACAACCTCCTTTGTATCACAATCTGTAACAATACCTAACAAAAATAATTGCGGAGTAAATTTTACCCTCCTTCTAAAAATTCTCTGGATATTCCACCATATTTTAATCCAAAATGCTTTTATCTCTCTGCATGACCACCAAATATGATAATAAGAAGCCTCCTTATAACCACATCTCCAACATTTGGGTTGCACGTCAGGATACATATAAGACATTTTTTGTGGATCAAGGTGCCATCTATAAAACATTTTATAAAAATTCTCCCTTAAGTTCTGTGCTTGAGTAAATTTGACATTTCTCACCCAAATAGTTTCCCAGGTGTCCAATGAAACTGGCTCACCAAAATTCTGCGCCCATCTAATCATACAATCTTTAATTAGTTCCGTTTCTGAGTCCAATTCAACTAAAACCCCATAAATTCTCTTAATGTGGGTTTGTCTTTGATCCTTCAGTTGCTTAATAAGGTTTTCATCTTCTCTAAGAAAACCCACCTTACAATCCATCTTCCATCTATCTAATAATTGCCTATATTGGAACCAAGAATAAGTAAAATTTTCTTGTGCTAACTCTTCCCGTGGATTTTAGTTGCCAGTTTTGTCCATCCCATTTAAGTAACTGTCTATAAGACACCATATCCATTTTAACCCCTCTTTTTATTCCTTCTATCGCATGCCAAGGTATAGCCCATAATGGTACTTTAAAATCACTTTTATAATATTTTCTCCAAATCCTAAGTAAAGAAATTCTTAAAATATGAGATTTAAAAGCCCAATCTATTTTTTTATTAAATATTAAATAGGCATGCCACCCATAAAGTAAATCCCATCCCTCTAAGTAAAGTATCTCAGAATTTGTCAAATTTACCCAATCACTAATTAATGTTAAAACCACCGCATCATAATATAATTTCAAATTTGGTACCTTAAGTCCACCCCTCTCACGGAAGTCTTGCATAATTTTAAACTTAACCCTTGGTTTTTTCCCTGCCCAAATAAATTTGTTGAGACCCTTCTGCCACTCATTTAAATTAATCTCATTTTTCAAAATTGGTAACATTTGAAACAAAAAAAGAAACTTGGGTAGAATATTCATTTTTATCACTGCAATTCTTCCCATGAGGGATAATTGCAACTTTTCCCAATTCTTCAAGTCCTTCTGTACCCTGACCCACAACCTTTCATCTTCTTGTGAGGAGTCCACCTTCCTTTCCACGTCTTGAATTTTGTCATCCAAAGAGTCAACTTTGTCTTCCACTTCCTCAAGCCTTGCGTCGAGCTTAACCACCACAGTAGCCAAACCTGAAACAGCTGCCAATATATCTTGTCGTAGTTCATTATTATTTTCTTGCAATTTAGACTTTATCCCCGTTATCTCTTCTTTGAGATCAGATTTAATTTCTGATTTAATCTGTGAAACAAATTGATTCATTTCCTCTCTCATTTGAACTACAATCTCTCCCATTATGCCTCTAACCTCTTGTACTGAAAGTCCAGG